CCCCCCGCGCCAGGTCCAGGTCCCTCATTAAAGAACTGCAGGTCACCCAGAACCCCTAGATTCTGCTTCATACTGTGGACAGCTGAGCCACCGACATCCACCTTCTTCGCTTCTTGGCTTCTGCCAGGACCAAGAGTCCAGGTGGGTGGGTAGGTGGGGGTGGAAAACAAGGGGTGGGTTGAGCAATGGGATGCCATTATCCCATTGAGATAATAGGATAATGGCATCCCATTGCTCAACCCCCCCTTGTTTGAGCTCTGCAAACATCGCCCCTTTCTCCATGATAGGAAGAAACTGCTACTCAAAGACTAAAACACACTTACCAGGAAAAATGCTGTAAAGAGGTAGGGGCAGCCCACACACTGTGAACATGATTTGAACTCTGGAAGGACATGGTGTGAAGTACACAAACTCTGGGGCAGGGTCTGATTTAATTAATTCTGGCTCTTCTTGGATGTGAGGGCATGGGCAAACCATTTAAGCTTTTTGGGCTGTTTCCTCATCAAAAACATGAGGACATGAGACCAGTCCAGGCATGGCTGCAGGGTTACTGTGACAGTCATGGGAGAGCACACGCCACAGAAAAAGTGCCTGCAGATAGGCCCTTGGCAACTGGTGCCTCCCTTTGCCCCTCTCACAGCCTTACCGCAGCTGAGAACCACAGCCAGCCACGTGCAAAATCGTAGAACAGGTGAGGGTAGGAGATGGGGGGAAGGAACATGAGGTTAGAGATGCTGTGGCCCTGAGCCACAACAGACTTTATGCAAGGGTGGTATGGAAGTTCAGCCTGAGTCTATCTGCCTTAGCACCTGAATCAGAGAATGTGGAGGCAGAATGCATGGAAGGCAAGATGTTGGTCAACTGCCTGTGGATGTCCTGCTGGGGATTCACTTCACTGTGAAATCTTCACAGGACAGAGAACCATTCTCCCATATCACACCACACCCACTTCTGCTAGAGCTCTTACCACTGCATGCCCCATTAGAGAGGGAGTCCTCCGGGACAGCCAGCTCCTCCCTGTCTGTACCGTGAGAGCCTAGCATAGTGCTTGGTGCGTGACAGGGCCTCAAGAAGTGTGCTGTGTGTGAGAGGCTGAGGAAAGCACTCCCAGAGCAGCACTGGCAGGCAGAACTCCCTATGATGATGATTGTTGTCTACCTGTGTCATCTAATACAGTAGCCTTGAACTATTGTGACCAAGAACTGCATTTCTAACTGTATAGAATACTACTTGTTAATGGAAATAGCCACATGTGGCCATTGCTTACCACATCAGAGAGCATAGCCTTAGATTAGCCTCTGGTCACTATCAGAGGCTTCAGCCAGCCTCTCTAGTCTCAACTGGCCTCTCCCTCACAGGCACAGGGGAGAGAGAGGCCAGGTGACTTCCTGCTAAGTATAGTTCTGATGTAGCCCAGTGTAGAAGGAGGGGGCTAGACAAACTTAGCACAGACTTTGGTTGAGCCCTGGGATTCTAGACAAGGAGTTATAACCCAAACACACAAAATATAAGTTATTTACTTGGTTACAGATTCTGGGGTCTGACCCGGAACAGAGGTGACATCTGGGAAAGGAGCAAGGGCAGGGTAGCAGCAAGGGTCTAGTCATTGCCTAGCCTCCTGCCACCCTTGCAAGGTAGAGAGGAACGGCCAATGGCTGAGCTCCATGGTAACCTCCTGTGATCTCCAATCTCCTGCTCCGGGGAGGGACCCCAGTGGGGTCTAAGCAAGGACAGCAGGCCACACTCATTCTCAAGATCACCACCTCAGTCTTTGGTCTCTGTCAGGGCTGGCAGCTGGCACAGGCTGAGTCCAGGCGGGAGTCAGAGAGAGCTGTGGGATTTCTCATCTCCTCCATCTGTGGAGAAGGGAAGGGAATGGGATGGGGAGGCCATTGCAAAAAAGGGATGCTGCCACATAATCCCAGAAGCCCAATGTGGGAAGAACTTGTAGTTTCCCCTCAGTCATCAAGAGCCTGGTTACTGTCTCTGCTCCAACCACCCAAACTCAGGCTACGCACCCACTGCCTGCCTCAGCCAGGGCCTCGGCCCAGGGCCTGGCCCCTGGGATGCCCACCGAAGTTGTCCAATGACAGGCCTTTACAAGTACACAATGCTTCAGGTTCCAAGGTGTGTTTACGTCCTATCTTTGCTCTGTCTACTGAGGTTTGATAACCTCCAAGAGATAGGTTATCCAAGCTCTCCGAGACTGCTCACTGAGAGGCAGAACCAGGATTTGAACCAGGACTTAGGGCCCCCAGTACAGCGCTAACAAAAATTACCACCTCGCACTGGGGCGAGCCTGCACTCACTTGGGTCTCCCAGATCCCTGCAATTCCCATAGCCCTCCCACTGCCCGCTGAGAACCTGGCTCCGTACACCATCTCAGTGTGGGCACCTGGAGAGCCCTGAGAATTCTACACCAGAAGGGAAAGTTGCAGAGAATGACGACTCAAAGACAGGAGAGAGCCAAGCACACCAACCACCACCTCCCCCAAACTCACATCCGGAGGCATTTGTCCTTCCCACCACTTGCCACTCTCTGGCCATCTGGACTCCAGTCGACAGCATATACCTAAACCAAGGAGGAGGAAGAGAGAAAGTGGGGCAGGGAGAAGGCTTGGGAGAGGATGGCCAGGCTTCAACTCCATACCCACCCCTTGCCCACAAGGGTCAGCCGTACCTCATCTGCGTGGCCTGGCAAGTCTGTGGCCAGCTTCTGGGCCTTCACATCCCATACCTTCAATGTGCTGTCACTGCTGCCACTGACCAGAAGCCGGCTGTCAGCTGACCATGCAATCTGGTACACGGAAGCCACATGGCCACGCAGGGAAGCCAGGTATCTGGGCCAGGGAAAAATGATGGTGGATATCAGATCTTCGAACATGTCTGAAGGGTTCTCTATGCCCATGGCAGTGGTTCTCAAACTTGGCTACATGTTAGAATGGATACAAAGTCCCACTGCTGGGCCCCTACCCCAGGCCAATTTAATGATTACTGCTCATTATATGTTTGTAAAACTTCTCCAAATGTCATTTCCACAGTGCCTTTTGTCAGGTCTCCATACCACTTGACTTTGCACACCTTAGGATCCAATGCAGCCATCTGCTTAGCCCATCTGCCTGATATCCCAACATGACAGTTGCTTGCTGACAGGTGGCTGCAACTCTTAGGTCAATACAGACTAGCTGTGTCTATTGAGACAGGTTATTAGGCATCTCTAAGACTCAGTTTCCTTACCTTAAAAAGGAATTGAAGGCCTAGGCCTATCTCAAAGGGTTGCTGCGTGAAAATACATGACTGACACATAGGTGCCGAGGGTATTCCTTGATCCTCCTTACCCATGCCTTGACCTCTCCTCCAAACTAAGGAACCCGAGGGCACTGTCTCATTACAGTGCTTTTCAGACTTAATGACAAGCAGAATCACCTGGTAGCCTTATTAAAATGCAGATTCTGTGGATATTATCAATAAATCAGCAAACATGTTGGGGAGCATGTGAGGAAAAAGGAACCCTCAAACACATTGTTGGTGGGAATGGAAATTGGTGCAACCACTATGGAAAACAGTATGGAGGTGCCTCAACAAATTAAAAAAAAAACAAACTACCAAATGACCCAGCAATTCCACTTCTGGGTATTTATCCAAAAAAAAAAAAAAATCCTAAACACTAATTTGAAAAAATATATGCATCTCTATGTTCACTGCAGCATTATTTACAATAGCCAAGATATAGAAACAATTTACATGTCCATCGATGGGCGAATGGATTAAAAAAATGTGGTACATATATATATAATGGAATATTACTCAACCATAAAAAAGAATGAAGTCTTGCCATTAATGATAGTATGAATGGACCTAAAGAGTATTATGCTAAGTAAAATAAGTCAAAGAAAGATAAATACCATATGATTTCACTTATATGCAGAATCTAACTAAATGAACAAACAAAACAGAAACAAACTCATAGATCCAGAGAACAAACTGATGGTTGCCAGATGGGAGGGGGGTGGAGGGATGAATGAAAAAGTTGAAGAAATTAAGAAAGTATAAGTCGCCAGTTATAAAAATAGTCACAGGGATGTAAAGTACAGCATAGGGAATATGGTCAATAATATAATAACTATGTATGGTGTCAGACGGGTACTAAACTTACCAGGGTGATTACTTTGTAAGGTATTTAAATGTCTAATCATTATGTTGTACAACTGAAACTAACATAATATTGTAGGTCAACTATAAATAGAATATTAATTTAAAAAATTTTTTAATGCAGATTCTGATTTATAAGGTCTGGGGTAGGCCCTGAGGTTCTGAATTTCTATCAGACTCCCAGGGGATGCCACTGCTGCTTGTCTGTAGACTACACTTTGAGGAGGGCCAGTTTTAAGATCATTTCTCTCTTCAGATATGAAATGAACTATCATTTTCAGTGCCCACTTAATGCTGGCGCTAAATATACCATCTCATTTAATTCTTGTAACAAAGCCGACAGGTAAGGAGTCTGCATATTACAGAAGACGAAACAGAGGCTCAGAAAATCCAAACACTTGCCAAGGCCACACAGCTAGTAAGTGGCAAAGCTAAGCTCCTTCCAGAGGAACAGTGGCCCTCCTCTCCCTCCCCACACCCCCACTCACTTGCCCGTCTTGCCATCCCACAGCTTGATGGACTTGTCAAAGGAGGCGCTGGCAACGATGCGGGAGTCGGGGGAGAAGAGCACCTGGTTGATGAGGGCCTGGTGTCCCGTCATCCGTGCGAGGGGCTTCTTGTCCTCTGCTGGGGACCACAGGAATAAAGTGAAGTCGTCTGAGCCAGACACCAGCCTCTCTGGGCCCTGGCCCTAGAGGAAGCAGAAAGCACACTGTGTTGGACACAGTATCAGACAGGAGAGTCTGACCTCGGCAGCAAACACAGCACTTATGTCTCAACACTAGCAAGGAGGCCAGAACTCAGAGAAATGAGGCCACGGGTTATCTCCCCCAAAAGGCAACTTTATGAACATGGGACAATTTCTAAGATATGTAGTTACATGAAAAAGCAAGGTACAGAATGGTGTGTTGAAAAGGGGAAAGTTTTTACATGTGCGTTTGTGTACATATGTATGTGTACAGACATGTACTGCTTAATGCCAGGGATACATTCTGAGAAATGCATCGTTAGGCGATTTTGTCACTGTGTGAACTTCAGAGTATACATAAACCTAGAAGGTATATCCTACTACACATCTTGGCTATATGGTACAGCCTACTGCTTCTACACTATAAGCCTGTAAAACAAGTAACTATACAAACGAGATTAAATCAAGCACAAGAGAAAACGATGCAATCAAGAGACATGTCAAACAGGAGATGTATGAGGCTGCTGCTCGCTTAACACGGCATACTGTTTATAGCAAGCTTTTTTTTAAATAAGTATAAAGAGTATACTCTAATAACAATAAGAAACATAGTACAGTAAATATATATACCAGTAACAGTCATTTCTAATCATTACCAAGTATTATGTACTGCGCATAATTGTATGCGCTATGCTTTAATGAGACTGGCAGTGCAGTAGGTTTCCACCAGCATCACCACAAACACCTGAGTAATGTATCACTAGGATGTTAGGACAGCTATGTCACTAGGCAATAGGAATTTTTCAGCTTCATTATAATCTCATGGGACTGCTGTTATATATGAGGTCGGCTGTTGACTGAAACACTGTTACGCAGTGCATGACTGTATTGTACAGTGTACATATATACATGCACTTTGGGGAAGGAGAAACAAGATACTGGTGGCAATAGATGCTTCCCGAACGAATGGATGAATGTATGGCAGAGATGAGAAATATTTCATTATCTACCTTTTTGTGTTCTTTGAACCTTAGATCATGTGACTATGTTACTCACACAAACTAAATGAAAAAAGAGAGAGGTACCTTGGGAATGCAATAGACAGCAAATAAAACGAAGTGAAATAAAATGATCACCAGGACATTAAGCTTTTAGGATTATAAACTAGGGTTATCAAGAACAACTTTCTAGAAAAGGTACATTCTGAGCTGAGGCTAGAAGGCAGAGGGGATTGAATGTCTGCAAAGTGTTGTAGGGACTAGCAGAGGATGACACAGAGCTGGACATGCTGGCAGCTGGCACATACCCGCACAAGGTTGTATCGGCTCAGAGCCCTCTCCTTTAACTCCTGCACTGTGTCCACATATCGGAGAGGAGAGAAAGAGATGAGGAACAAGGCTGATTAGAAAATCCAACACAAATAGCAAACACTCCCCAGGCTTCGTCTGACTCTCACATATTAAACTAGAGAACTAGCTCTTTCTAGGCAGCCCACTCCCCACTTCTCCCGCTCACTCACAGGACCCTTTGAGGTCTTGGGCGTTAACTGAGGCCTCAGCTGGCTCAAAGGCCCCTGTGCGCAGGGCATAGTCAGTGCTGAGGGCCATGGTGTTCACCCAGTGGCCGTGGCCTTGCAGAGTCCGGCACAGCACACCCTATGGCAGAAGGAGACAGGTCAGACACACACATCGCTCTCCATCCTAGGGAACCTGCACCCCCAGATTAACTCCAGAAGACTCAGGACATTAATTTATTGTGATTTTAATCAAATGACTTTGGGCTCAAATCTCATTTCATTTGCAAAAAGAGGGCAGTGGCTTAGATCACTGTTTCTGAAAATATATTTCATGGAAGGGAAGTTAAGTATATCAGAATAAAAGAGCTCCAGTCAAGTCAGTTTGAGAAATGGCAGGTTCAATAAGGCTAAACAGGCCTTCTAGAGCAGGAATTTCCAGAGCCTGGCCATGCTAAGGGATACTGGAACCGCCACTACAGTGCAGCACCAAACACAGGACTCCTTGTTCCTGAAGCGCCTCCCCAACCTGGCTCTCAGAACATGCTCAGGAAACACTGGTCAATGTTCCTTCCAATGCTGGTCCCATGGCCTGAGATTTCCCAGGCTGGGTTCTGAACCCCGTTAGCTCTTACATCGTGAGCCCTCCAGACTTTGATGGTGCGGTCCTGGGAGGCAGAGTAGAGAAGCCCGTCTCCTCCCCACCGGAGACAGGTGACTGACTGGGTGTGCCCAGTGAGGATGCGCTCACAGCGGCCTGCACTTGTGTCCCAGACCCGCACGCTGCCATCCTTAGAGCTGCTGGCCACGTAGCGGCACTCGGGGTTCCTGAAGAGGGGAAGGGAGACGTGACCTCACTTCTGACATGGCAACACCTGTCTTCCCACGGCACCTCCCCATTCCCTAAGCAAGGGTAAGGGGCAGTGTCTTGACAGCTTTCTGACCCCAAGATCTGGCTGCATCTCAAGGCAGCTCTAAGGCCCTGTGATGAATAGCCCTTTCCCAAGCAGCAACGCAGGTCAGACCTTCCTCACTTCTTGCCCTGCAGTTACTGTCAGTCTTGACTGCTCACTTCGCCCTTTAAAATAAAACTCTCTGTCTCATGCAGGGGACAGCTTTGAGCCCCTCGTTTCTCATTCACCCCAGCTGTCAGTGTCACTTACGCATGGAGGGGCTCCCAGCTCAAGCCTGTGATCCACTTGCTGTGGCCAGCGAGGGTCCTGCCCACCTGCTTTCCTGTGCTTGGGTCCCATAGGAGAATCTAAAGATAGAAGCTCACCAAATAACCTTCTCCAACCTGTCCTTGCCCCACCAAAGGTTTTCCGCCCACCCCCACCCCCACCTCCCTGAAGATTCTGACCCAGCTCCCAGGAAGAGAGCCCCAGAGTCCCTGCCTAGTTACCCTGACCCCCATTTACCTGGCCATTCTTGCAGCCTGAAGCCAGCTTCTTGCCATCTGGGGACCAGGATATGCTAAGGACCCAGTGTCTGTGTCCTAAGAAAGAAAGGGAGGGAGAAAGGAGGGACATCTGTCTTTATCCCCAGTTTCTAGCAATGCCTGGCACATTGCTAAACTAGTTGCTGAATAAATGAACAATCGAACAAAACAATCGAACATAAGGCTCCTAGGCAAGGGAGAATCCATCCCAAGTGCTAGAGCCAAGCATGTTGCCACACAGATAACACTGGCATTTTCTAATAATTTCCTACATAACATAGGGTATAAAGTGTTTTCACACGTCATCCCCTATAATTCTCATGATAGCTCTAAGGTATGAAGCAAAGCAAGAATTATCACCCCCATTTTCCAGATGAGAAGAAAACTGAAGCTTAGAAGAGAGCATGCCCTACACTCACAAGGTCGCCAGCTAGAATGTGGTCAGTCCCCAGACCAGCAGCATTGGCACTATTTGGGAACTTGACAAATTCTCAGACCACACCCCAGACCTATGGAGACAAAAACTCTAGGGGTAGGACCCAGCAGTCTGTAGTTTAACAAGCCACCCAGGTGATTCTGATGCATATTCAAGTTTTAGAATCACTGTGGTAGAGGCTGGATTTAAGCCAGGTTCTCCTACTAGCCAGTCAGCCCCTTCCCACAACTCCACACTGACACTTTGGTTCGGTCTGCTTGTTTAAGTTGCTGGCTGGGCTCAAAGGTACTGTTAGTCACTAACTAGATGTGAAAGAGTTGGAATCTGCTCTGGGCCTCCTCAGGAATGAAAGAGCTGAGCGAGTCATCTGCCTATAACTAAGACCCCCTAAATGGCTAACTGCATACCGACCCTGGCATGTGAAATGCGGTGTCTCAGTGCTGAGATCCCAGAAGCGCACAGTGGTGTCTCCGGAGCCGCTGGCCAGGTACCTGGGGAAGAAGAGCGGCTGCCTGACTTTCCCCAGGTCAGGGAGCAAGGGGTAGGGCCCACACCGAAACACTGCACACATGAATGTCTGCTGCCTATTCAATCATCTTCTGGCAATAGCATTTGAGACTGGACTTCCCTCTCTCCCCTGAGGAGAAATGTAAAACTGATGCTATCGGGAGAAAACTTTTAGGTCATTTCTTCTCTTCCTTCCTTAAAGGAACGGCCACAGCTATAATTAGATTTAAAGCTTCTCATTATCCTCATAGGACTGAGAATAAAGAAATCCAGTTTCACAGATGAAGAAGAATTAACTCAGAAAGGTTAAGTGACTTGCCCAGGTCACACAGCTAGGAAGGGGTAGAGCTGAACTTGCAGCTCAGATCTCTTGAGATCGAATCCAGGAAGGGCTCTTGCAAGGCAGGTGTCCTTGGTCTCTGGACAAAATCTCACTGGGGAAGTCCCTTGCTTCCAACTTGAGCCCAGAGCTCGGGTCTATTGGGTCTATGGAGGCCCCATCAATCGTAACTTGGGGGTACTCTCCTCACCCCAGCCAGAGGCTGCACCCCCACACTCCCCTCCACAATTCTGCAGCTGTCCTTACTTTCCTGTTGGGCTGAAGGCCACAGAAATAACCGCCTCGCTGTGACCCTCCAAGGAGCTGGTGCAGCGGGTCACAGCACGGACCTTGAAGATAGCCTGTGGCTGATAGATGATGTCAAGGACCTTCTCTGTCTCCACTGCCTGGGACTCCAGTGTCCTCCCCAGTGAGGAGACGATCTCAGCATCGTGGACATAGAAAGCCAGGGGCAAGGGATCCTCCTGGAAGGCAACAACAAAGGGAATCTTCCCCATTAAGGGATGAGCAGAGGCTACCTCCACCAGGAAGCCTCCATACTGAGCTGTGGAGGTAAAGCTTCTTTTCAACTACCCTGCTTGAGTTACCTCCATCATTCCGCAGAGAAAGACCTTTTTAATCCTTGAAGAGCAACTATAGGATGCTTACATAGCACTTTTAAATTCTTTATTTGCATCCCACAACAACCCTGGGAGGTAGGCATTAATATTCCCACTTGATTAAAAAACAACAAAAACAACAAAAAACAGGCTCTGAGTAACTACTTACTTGCTACTGCTAATGACTAATTCGGATTCCTTGGTGTTCTTTAAAAGGAACACTAAAGTCCAGGATGAGGGTTAGTATAATATTACAATGTTTTCGAAACCATGCTGTATAATGTGTAAGAAGCATCCAAAAAGATGGTTGGAAATGCAAACTCTCTATCTCACCCCAGAGTCTGGTGTAATAACTCTGGGGTGGGATCCAAGTACAGCATTTTTAATGGTCCCACCCCAACAGAGGGCAACACTTTGAAACACTGGCTTGGAAGTGCACGGGTTTTGAGTCTGACACATTTAGGTTCCAATTGCAAATCGACCATCTACTGCGTAGCACCGTGCAAATTATTTAATGTCTCCGGGCCACACCGTAAAATATTATGTAGAGGCTGTGGCGAAGAATCATTTGACAATGCACCCAATGCGTTCAAGATGCGGTCCCTCTCCGCAGATGGTCCGCTATGGGCGGCACGTAAAGCGCTCTCAAACTGATGACATCTTCCTACCCTGCCCCAAATTAGATGACACTCCACCGACTCGCGCCAGGGTGTTTCACCCACTGTTGGTGAGTGGTGGGGCCCTTGATCCCTAGATCTTTGGTCTCCTTGTTCCCCGTGGGCCCGACCCAGGTAGCGCCGCCCACCGCTCACCTGGGCCAGCAGTGCGTTGCACACGAGCTGCAGCTTGTCCGGGGTGATGTCCACGGGCACGTCGAACGGGGAGCCCAGCAGCTGCCCACCCTCATCCTGGAACTGCACTAGCAGGCGCTGCACGTCGCGCCGGGCCGCCTCGCCCTGCACCAACACGTGCGGCGGGCATCAGCCACGTCGCTGGGACGGGAAGACCCCCTCTTCCGCCTCCCTCCGGCCTCGGGGACCCTGGGCCCGAGCGCCCAGCCGCGGTGCCCCCGCCCCCACTCACGCACATCCACCGCCACTGTCGCCGCCATCCTGCGTCCCCACGTGGAGGAGAAAGACTCTGGAGGGACCGAGCGCCGCACCCGTGGTCTGGCGGTGCCGCAGTCCGGGACATCGCCCTCTGGTGATGCGGAGGGAAAGTGTCACGCCGCGCCGGGCCTCCGGCCTGAGGGGTGGTCTCACATGGTATCCACCTCCATGACCTCTCCTTGGACGGGAAGCTGCCGCCACATTCAGTCCCTCCAGGATACAAAGAGCCATTTCTCTCTTCAGAACAGGGATTCTTGCCCAACTTGAGAGAGGGGAAATCGAGGCTTTGAGCGGTAGATTTTCCCCAAGATCACAGAAATAGAAAATGACAGAAGAGCGAATAGACTCCAGGCAGGAGCTCCCCTGTAGGGGGTGTGACTTACAAAGCCAGAGGCTTTTGGGTTGAAGGCAAGAATTAGTATTCCTTTTTTTTTTATTTGAAAAAGTGACTTTTATTGTACTTTTTACTGCACACGCTTATTTCAAAAATTAGAATAAATGGATAAAAAAAGGATAAAATAAAAATCACTGTAACTTTATCCACCCAGAGATAGATTACTTTTTTAAAAAATTAAATTTATTGGGGTGACATTGGTTAATAAGATGATATGTTTCAAGTGCACAATATCATAACACATCATCTGTATATTGAATTGAGTGCACATCACCCAGAGTTTAGTCTCCTGTCACCATACATTTGACCGTACATTTACTCTCTTCAACTTCCCCGCTCGCTTCCCCTTAAAATTCTTTTAAAAATGAATCCAATCAATTAGTAATACTTGATGAGTACAAAAGCAGAAAATTTCTGCGGTTTTTAATACTATAAAGCAGTAACTATAATAATGATAGCAATGTGTCAGGCATTGTTATAAGTGCTTTACACATATAACTCAATCCTCGCAACAATCATTTTCTCCCCATATTACAAATGAGGAACTGAAGCAGAGATCAAAGAACATGAGTGCTCTTACCAGAAACCCAGGACCTTCCTTGTTAGCTCTCTTTTCCCTCACCCCTCACATCCAGGCACTCTCTGTCAGTTTTGCCCAATAAACCTTCCTTAAAACTGTTTTCTTGGTCCCCACTGCCACACTCTGGTATGAGTCACTATGGTTTCCTACAACAACCTCTTCACTTGTCTCCCTGTTTCTACTCTTGCCTCCTCTCAGGCGCTCTCAGGGTTCAAACCCCAAATCTGGTCTGTTATTCTCCACCCTAAAACCCCATAGTGGCTCCCGTTACATGCCGGGGGCGGGGAAAAAAATCTAACTCTTTATAATGGTCCACTCAGCCTTACTTACCTCTCCAACCACTCTTCTTTCTTTAAGATCAAATCCTTCTAGCTTTGTCATAGTTCTTCTAAGGCATGACCCTTCCTGCATCAATGCTTTTGTACATGCATTTTTTCTCTGTCTGGAACTGTTATTAATGGAATTGTGTCCCCGCCCAAATTCATATGTTGAAGCCCTAACTCCCAGCATGACTGTGTTTGGAGATAGGGCCTATAAGGAAGTAATAAAGGTAAAGGGAAGTCATAAGGATGGGGCCCTGGTCCAATAGGACTGGTGTCCTCATAAGAGGAGGAAGAGATGCCAGAGCATGCATGCATGCACTGTCTCTCTCTTTCTCCCTCTCTCTCTTTCTCTCTCTCTGCACTCATAAAGAGGCCACGTAAAGACATCACAAGAAGTTGTCTGTCTACAAGCCAGGAGGAGAAGTTTCATAAGAAACAAACCCTGATGGCCTTGATCTTAGACTCTTAGCTTCCAGAATTGTGAGAAAGTGAATTTCTGATGTTTAAGCCATCTAGTCTGTGGTATTTTGTTATGGCAACTCCAGCTGACTAATACAGGAACAATTCCTCATTCTTCAGGTCTTTCCTTAAATATGCATTCATTCATTCAAAAAATGTGTTGAGCACTTATTCTCTATACCAGGCATTGTTCTAGGAGCTCTACATATATTAACTCTTTTAATCATTTATTTAGGGAAATCTTCTTGAAAGGAAGTCATGTTTTCCTTTATATGTTTTCAAAACATCTAGGTATCCCCCATATTTAAAATCACAGATTTATGGAGTTATTTCATCCATTCATTCAACAAATATTATTGAGCACCTACTACATACTACACACTTGGAATGTGTAAGTGAACAAAATGGACACAAATTCTTGCTCTCATGAGTGTTCTCTGTTTCTGTGATCATTCACAGTTCCTGGCACATAGTAGATGCTTAAGAAATGCTCATGGAATGAATAACTAAATCAAGATTTGAAGCTATGGTTCCTTAGACCTAAAGTCACAGAACCACAGTTCTCTGTCAATGGCAGGATCTTTTATCATATTACCTTGTTGCTATGGAAAACTTATCCCACAAAGGGGCCCAAGGTTTGGAGTACCATGAGCATAGGAAATTCATTTAGCCATTTATTTATTTATTTAATCAACAAACATAGATCAGACAAACATTTGTCATGGCTGGGCCTTGTGTCCAGTAGGGCAGTAGAACTTATTCAGGGTCATAGCTGTGTATTCAAAATCACAGAGTCAGGAGAAGAATCTAGTGTGGGTAACCCCCCAAGCTTTTCTTCAGTGTCTTTCTCAGCCTGAATAAGATAAATTTGAAGTTATATGAGGTGGGAGAACAGAATGATGGTAACTGAAAAAGAGCATCAGCATGAAGACACCATTCATTCATCCACTTATTCATTCAGGAAACACGCATTGGACAATGACTCTGCCAGGCTCTACACAAGAGGAAGTCAAACTGCATGAGATGCTGTCCTTGCCCTCGGGGAGGCAGCTCACAACTCAGGGTTGGAGACACTGAAAAGCGAGAGAGTTCTGAGTCCAAGTAGGGACAACCTCATAAATTTGCCTCAGGAACCCTCAGTCAAATGAGGAGGAACAGTTCCCTAGGGGGATCCTCTTTGATGATGAATACATAGTTCTTGTCCCAGGAAGACCTCCTTCTGATGAGGTAGACTCAGCTTATCCTAGGAGAGTTCCCAATCAAATAGGGGGTACAGTCCTTGGTCTCCAGGAATTCCCAGGCTGACCCAGCTCTTGCCCTAGGAGAAGGTCTGGTGCGGGGTATACAGGACCCATCTTCAGGGAGTTCCCAGTCAGATGGGAGAGGAAGATTGAATATACCCATTTGCTCCAAATAGGGAGGAACAAGAGAAGACAGGCAGATCAAAACAGGACCTACTTACATTAAACTGAGTTAGTAAGTCTACTGGTCTTTCTGAAAAGCAAGGACATTTTCAACAAGTGAATCTCAGAGGGGTAGTAAAATTGTGGACAACTAGAAAAGGGGAAGGAAATTTCGTCCCTCTTCTTCCCTCTTCTTCCCTCCTCCTCCCTCCAGAAGGGTGTTTCTGGAAGTCTCCAGTTCCTATGGGACCTGGGCAGCTGCTCTGCAGGTCTCTAAGACTGTCAGCCCCTCAGCTGTCACTCTGCTCCCAAAATAGCAGTGGTCAGGGAGAGGGAGAAGAGATTGTTTATCTCGGATGGAGGTGGACTAGGGGCATTATAGCTGTGTCTAGAGAAGGGGTTCTGCTGGGGGTTTCCTGTCCCTTCTGGCTCTTTCTCTCCTTCTTTGGGATATGAGTTTCTGAGCCCCCAGGACTGCCCTGAGTGGGGTGCCAGGGTAGAGGTTAGTCAGCATTTCCACGTGGTACTGACTATCCAGTCTGGGGAGGGGGAGGGCTCTGAGTATCAATGACAGGCTCCAGGGGCACCTGCCCCTGTGGCCAAATATGGTCTGGAGCCACTGGCAGGGGCGATAAAGTCTCCTGGGTGAGAGCAGGGAGGGGCAGACTGAGGCTGGCTGGCTGGGGGTTCACACGGGAGCAGGAGCTCAGAGGAGCAGTGTCACAGGACAGACCAAGAGCACTGTCCTCGTGAGGAAGCGAGCCAGGCCGAGCCCGAGTGTTCCCCGGACAAGAAAGCGAAGGGGGAACGACAAGAACTTTTAAGGTCTGTAGTGAGAGTTCACGCCTTTGGAGTGGTGGCTTCACTCACCCAGCTGGGAGGAACAGAGAGTGGGGCACGGGGGCTCTGAGATCCCTCTCAACTCAGGCCTTGCTCTGAGCAAATGCTATAATGTTTTTCTGGGTGATGGATTTCGGGGTGCTGGGGGGTGGGTCCCTGCCAGGCAGAACCCTCCCTTCCATCTTGATGAGAGGGGCCCCTGGAGTCTGATCCTGGGCCTGGAGTGAATGGCTGGCCGGTTGGGGCTGCCCTGTCCCAACAGATGGCGGAGGCGGAAGCAGTGCGGCTGAAGGAAGAAGGGAACCGGCATTTCCAGCGCCAGGACTACAAGGCCGCAGCAAAGAGCTACAGCCAGGCCTTGAAGCTGACCAAGGATAAGGCTCTGCTGGCCACACTCTACCGGAACCGAGCAGCCTGTGGCCTGAAAACGGTCTGGGGCAAGGCAGGAGGCTAAGGACCAGGGAGGGGATGCAGGGGTGTGGAAGCAGCCTCCTTGTCCTGATAAGCATCATATGTCCTCTGTCATCTTAGCCCTCTCACCTGAACCCCTCGGGTTGGAGAAGGCTGCCTCCCATTGCTTTCCTGGACCCACTGCCTGACACACTCCCCTGGGAGATAGAAATTCCCCCAGATGGAAACCAGCCTAATGAGAACTGGCATCACGGTGGGGGCTTTTCATATGTTTTTTTCGTGACATATTAATAACAGCCCTATGAGGTAGCTGCTGTTGTCATGCCTGTACTACAGATAAGAATCTCAAGGCTCAGAGGTTCACTAACTTGCCTGAGATCTCCCAGGTAGTTAGTAGCAGAGTCTAGATTCAAAGCCGAGTTTGCCTGATGCCAAAACTTGCCTAGTTTTCCATGCCCAGCGAGGGGCTCATGCTCTGGGCCTCTGACAGCTGGCAGCTCCCAGCAAGCCCTCTCCTCTCCCCATGGAGACCCTCTCTAGCTATCTCTGCATTGGGCCCACATTAACTGAATCTCCTTCTCCTTCTCTTTCTCAGGAGAGCTATGTTCAGGCAGCTTCAGATGCCTCGAGAGGTGAGCCATCCCCCTCTGCCCAAGGTCCACACCCCTCAGAGTCCTTGTTTT